GGAAAGGGCTTATTTCCATTTTGAATCTCATGCTCAACCCAGGGGCATATGCTCCGTGCTCACCTTCAAATGGCCTTTATGATTTGTTACTGCTTGCTCCTGATTTTCTTTAAGTTGAGCATGAATAGTTGATTTCACACAGGTTAAGTAGATATCTGATGAATTTATAACATACTGGGGTCTTTGGGGAGGTAACTCATGAAGCTCATTATTCTTACTTAGACAATGTAGTGGATAAAACGGAGCTCCAGAAAGGTTTACATCAATTCCCAGGTATCACAGTTATAACTAGTTCTTAGAGAAAAATGCCTTTACAAACCACTCCTCAGCAGTGTTATTATCAGAGACTGCCCTTTCATTTCTGCTTATAGCTATGATACTGCAGGCATGTGCATACACCATCACCAGCCCATGCCTCCCCATAGCTGTATTATCTTTCACTCATTGCAGCTCCTGTTCACATAATTTCTCCCTATCTCTACCACCATCCTATAGGTAAATAATGTCTTTCTTGGGTATCTTTCCAGAATTGCTTTATGCAAATGTGAACAAATAGGAATAGGTAATAAACTGCTCCCTTATTGCACCTTGCTCTTTTTGTATAATAAAACATCTTGCAACTCATTATACATCATTAAAAGGAAAACTATCATTTTCAACATCACTACATCATATTCTGTTGTGTGGATGCACCATAATGTATTTAAGAAAAACTAGTTCCCCTCTAGTTTTTCTTACTATTATTTAAAAAACCCACGAGTAATCATGTATTTTCTGACCTGTGCATAATCACTTGTATTATAAATTCCCATAAGGACTGTTGTCTCAGAGAGTAATTGCAATTGTAATTTGATAGTGTCTAGTTACCCTGTGTAGAGATGGTTGTACCACCAGCAACAATATTTGAGAGTGCTTGGTAACACTTCAATTTTTAACATCAAATGGAGAAATGTAGCTTCTAGATATAATAGGTTCTCTGAGCTTACTCTGCAGTGCTCAAAGAAGTCCTGTTTCTACAGAAGTCAGTAAGATATAAGGAACAGAACTGATGAAGATGACATTCACACCTACTGATATGAAGCTTTACTTCCAGAGGCTAAAATAAGGTGAAGAATTTATGAGGAGTGCCTTCAAAATGAGGCCCACCCCCATACAGGAATTCAAGTGCTCTGTCTCCTAGATGTGTGTCAGCATTGTAATGTAATAGGGTCCCTTCTGTGACTAACACAGTAACTTTAGAGGTGCCACTAGCTGCTCGGGCCAGAACATTGGTAGGGTAGGTGGCATAGGCTTTGAAATGACACCTACCTGGATTCAAACCTATGGCTACCCTATCTCCCAAGGGTGGAACTCAGGGTAATTCATTAGACAGAACTAATGGTGTTTTCTAGACCATTAAAATGGGGAACTTAAGGGCTGGTGGAGTGGCTCAAGTGGTAGAGAGCCTGCTTAGCAAGCCTAGCAAGAGTGAGGCCCTGAATTCAAGCCCCAGTACCACCCAAAACACAACAACAAAAAGCAAACAAACAAAAATGGGGAACTTATTCTTATGCCTTTTTGGACTGTTGAAATATTAAAGGTAATAATGACTGGAAGAGTAGTTAATACAAAATAGCATTCAACAATAACTTTCCCCTTTTGCCTTTCTGAAAATAGCTGAGAATTGGGAAGAAAACCCCTACAGGCTTCTAAACAGCTAAAATTTATGTCACAATGTCCATATGTTAAAACTATCTTATTATACTCATAGATGCTCTAAGAATGTATTTAGTAATTGCAACATGCTTTGTTGTTTGGCTTCTCAGCCTATAGAGAAGCGGCAGTACAGGGGCCAAAGTTGTTAACTGACTGAACTATAGAAAGCAGAGTTAAAAAAAAAAAACATAATTAGGAAAAAACCTACCAGCACCAAAGATGCCCAGTAGGCCTGGGTTGGCACACTGTCACAGCTAAGAAACACAAGGTCATCTCAAGGTCAAGCTGCCAAGAAAAGGTTAACTGGGGCTGGGGGTACAGTTTGGTGGTAGAGCATGTGCTTAGCATGCAAGAGGCCTTGGGGGTCAATCGCCAAAATAAACAAATAAAAAGTTGACTACCTACCTGATGTCAAGAAAACAGGTCAGTGGTAATTAATTTCTTTTAAATTTATTTCTCCTTATTTACCTCAAGTTTGAGGTATCTCTGTAATACATTAATGAGTTTTATTTCAGATTTACATCATAAAATATAAAATAACAAATTTTTGGAACTTGAGGTTAAATGCCAGTTGTCTAGAAAATTAATCATCAGCTCATTTGCTTACATAATATTTATTGAGTGCCTTCAATGTATTCAACACTGTGCTAAGTGCTGGACTTGAAACATTTAATTGTCCCAAAATTCTAGGCTAAAAAAGTACCATTCACAGCACTGTGCAATTCATGTTAACACGAATCCATGTTAACAAATTCATAATAAGCATTCAGTGAGTCTTCATAATAGGTTTATTATCATTGTAATTGATTCTAATTTTAGAACCTCTGGGCACTAAATATTCTCCTTCCAAAGAAGATAGAAAGATGAAATTGTTTAACCAGTAGATATGAAGTTGAAATCACGTGACAGATTGACTCTTATATATCTACTTGAAACTTAGTAGTTTCAAAAGTGCTAACACTTTTGACTCCTAATCTCATTTGTCAGCCTTAGTTGAGTATAATTTACTTAGCTAATTTCACTAGTGGAGTATGTTCTTTTGGGTATGGAGAAATATGAATCATAAATATGCCATTACTGCCTGGTTTGTATCTTATTTCATGGCCTCACAGTTTAAATAGAAAAAATATATTTAAAAGCACAAATTAATTATATTTCTTTTCTTAGAAGTATTTCAAAATGCTTTTTTATTGGAGATATCAAATCTATTCAATGGAGTTTAAGCACACACGTTGGTACTATGGAAATGTAATAACAACAAAAATGGTAACAATAATAATAGAAGTTACCACTTATCTAGTGGCTACTATCTATCAGGTATCATGTTGAGAGCTTTAAATGGCTTACCACCGAGAAAATTTTCAAAGAAGGCGCCATTATTGTTCCCATGACATAAAGGTAGAAAGTGAGGCTTAAAGGTTATATTGTTCACATCATTCATGATATCATTTTAGGGGAACTGGGAGCAATCGTATTTCATACTTTTGCCACCTAAGGTATTATCATTTCAAAGTTAGTAAAGAAACAGAATTCCAGTTATATGTAAAAATAATCCATACCTGTTGGTTCTAGGTTTCACTATGATAAGAAATATGAAACAAAAGGACATAATAAAAAGATGTGGAATCACTTTTTCCTGCTCAAACGTTTGAGTTAAAAATCCTCCATAAGTATTTTCTCAATGTCTATAAACCTCTAAAGGTTTTAACTTGGCATATATACTCATGAAAAGCTTTATACTGTAATGTGGTATCCCCATCTTTACCTTGCCCTGCCACTATCAAAGTCTACTTTCTTCAGAGAACTTCAATCCCATATAAACTTTACCTAATTTGACCTCTTAGCATTCTAAAGAATGTTGCCATTATTAGAAGATTTTACTGAAGAAAGTAGACTAAGTCAGAAAACTGAGTTAAAACAACTTAGGGAAGTTGATGAGAAAGTCCAGCTATTTCCTTTCTTTTAGTTTTAATCTTTGAGATTCTCATTTTACGTGATCAGTAAGAACAGCAATAATATTTTGCTCTATTTGGCTTTCACTGGAAAATCATTGTAATTCAAATCCATTCAGTGCTGCTTCACTTATGCAGTTTGTTAGCTAAGTTCAAGTAGTATATCCTGCACCTATTTTAATGATATAGCACATTAATAACATTTTCACTCATTTAAAGCCATGTTTACTAACAGAGCCCAGCACCAAAAAAATTCTAAAAGACAATCTTAGAACATTCAAATAGCTTGGACAAGAAATTGATACATGCCAGGTAAACCCTGGCTAGCTCTTAATTTTCCAAATTAAGGTCATGGAATTTTAAATCACACACTTTAAAAAAGTGTTGGTAAAAGTATATTTTAATAGTGCAGAAAATACACTCAAGGTCACAATATGCCCATTCAATCCTTACTGCAACATGCAAGACACAAGTAGGCTGACTTCTAACAGGATTCTGCCTGGAATTTTCTTAAAGCAATGGTGGAAACTTTATTACAAAAGATGAAAAGTCAGTGACAAGAAATCAGGGGGTCAACAGAGGTAAGAGAGAGGTCCAAAGCAGGTGAGACTCAAAGGTTGTTTGTGGGAATCTAAACTGAGGTATTTTTTAAGAGCTCCTCAAAACAAGAAAACACCAAGAGTGAAATGAAAAAGAAAAAACAAAAACAGCCAAAGAGGTGAGACACAGCCATTTTGACTGGGGGGGGTCTAACTATACAATGAGGTCATCCTATCTCCCGGAAGTGACACGTAATCACCTGCTCTGCACTAGCTCCGCCCCTTCCCTCAGAGGTCCCGCCCCTCTGCCAGCAGCCGGGAGGGTGTTAGGGGGCGTTTCTCCAAGAGGAAAGCTGGAGAGCTGCGACGCTGAGGAAGGGGACCCCAAAACGTCTGGCACTGCCCCCTCCAGGGACCACTTTGGACCGCCTCACTCAGCCCAGCGGGATTCTGAAACGCCGAGGGGTCAACCTGATGGGTTTCGGGGTCAACGGAAGAGGGGAAGGGGAGCCCTGGCGGGGAGAACCCCCCGGTCCCCCGCCCAGCAGCTGAGGCACAGGAGGGCGGCCATCTTGGCCGGGAGGGTAGGGCCGGGGAGCTGCGGGCGCCGTGCGATTGGGGGGCTCGCCCGGAAGTGACGCCAACTACCCGGAAGCGGAGGGGGTTCCCTGGCCCACTCCCCCCCGTTCGTTTGCTCCCCCGCTTCCTCCCCGCCCCCCTTCCTCTCCATTCGTTTCCCCCCCTCCCCGGTCCCTGCCTTCTCCCCCCACCCGTCCCTCCCCCCCCAACCTCCGGAGCTGGGAAGAGAGTCAAGATGGCGGCGAAATCCGATGGCGGTGGCGTGGGGGTGGGCTTCGCCCAGCTGCACAACCTGGACGAGGCGGTGGGCAGCGGCGGCGAGGAGGACGGGGAGCCCGGGGGAGGCGGCTGCGGCGGCGGCGGCGACGGCACCGAGCCCGGCGAGAGCAGCTCGCTGCACATCTGCCACTGCTGCAACACCTCCTCGTGCTACTGGGGCTGCCGCTCCGCCTGCCTGCGCTCCCTCCTGGGCAAGAAGCCGCGCCGCAGCGCCGCCGCCGCCGACGGGGGGGACCAGCCGCTGCAGCCGCCCGCGGCCGGCGGCCAACCCCCGACGCCCTCGGCCGGGCAGCCGCAACCGCCGCTGCCGCCGCAGGCGGAGCGGCCGTGGCTCGACTGCCTGTGGATCGTGCTGGCGCTGCTGGTGTTCTTCGGGGACGTGGGCACCGACCTGTGGCTGGCCCTCGACTACTACCGCAAGGGGGACTACGGCTACTTCGGACTGACCCTCTTCTTCGTGCTGGTGCCGTCGCTGCTGGTGCAGAGCCTGAGCTTCCGCTGGTTCGTGCAGGACTACACGGGCGGCGGGCTGGGCGCCGTGGAGGGGCTCAGCAGCCGGGGTCCCCCCATGATGGGGGCCGGCTACGGCCACGGCGCGGCCACGCCGGGGGCGCAGCGCCTGTGCCGCCTTTCCGTGTGGATCTGGCAGTCGGTCATCCACCTGCTGCAGATGGGGCAGGTGTGGAGGTAAGAGCGCTGCGGGGCTGGGGGCGGCGGCGCGGGGCCTCCCCCTCCCCAGTCCCCCGCCCATTCGTGCGCTGGTCCTTGGACGGGCCCCGCCGGGCGGGTAGGAGGGGTGGCCGCACAGCGCCTGTCGTTCGATTCGGATGCCTGGCCACGCCTTTTGGCCCGGGGAGGCCCAGGTCCTGCTGTTTGCCTGTCTCCATTCCCTGGTTCGCACTTAGCGGGGACCCTATTCCAGCCTCCGCTCCCCTCCTCCTCTGCAGACCTCTATCCCGGTTGTCCCTTAAACCCCACATCCCAAGGTAACAGCTGCTGGAGCTCTATCTGCACCCCAGCTTGTGTCCTGGGGGGACCTTTCCTCCAGCCGGTTTGTACTCGGCTTTGCCCCCCCGGTAAGACATTTTCCCCTTTTCTCCACCTTCTCTCTGCGGCGGCCAACGTGGGGCCCTGAGGAAAAACCCTCGCTGCCTCTCCTTAAAGCACCCTCATCCCTCGCCCCTCCCCCTCCCGCAGCCCCCGCCCCTGCGACTGACTCCACTCCGCTGTCCTCCTTGCGGACATGACTGTTGCTGGAGTAGACATGCTCTTTTCTCGGTGACAGGTAGAATTGGATGGTATGTGATGGCAGCAAGCGGTTGGTCTTAACTCTCACCCTGCGCACCTATTCTGCTCTTGCTCGCCAGGCCGGTGTGTGATTTCTGTTTACACAAGACCCAGGCTTGGCCTTTCGGCCCTTTGCCTGTCTGTGAAGTCCCCGTGTGCCGGGTGATCCCTCAAAAACCACTTGCAAATGCTCTTGCTTCCAGCAGCCTTCACTGACCACTCACTTTCTGGCTGCCTCACTGGCTACGTGAGGAAAGGATCCCATTGAAACCTCAGTCGGCCTGCGTCCTGCAACATAAATCAGTTTCGATGTGTTCTGGAAACTTGTAGGTGAGAGCGTTTGCAGGAGGGAAAAATCTTATCGAAGACGTATTATACAGAGAAGCGCCCTCAGGTACATCACCTAGACCTGCCCTGGCTCTGATGCCTGGTAGTAGATTTTAGGCCTCAGTATTTCAGGTTACAAAGGTGTACTCGGGTTAGCTGTAAGAAAGTTCGTTTTGAATGGTGTGACCAGATCTCTATTCTGAATCTAAAAAACATTTCAGAAAAAGGAGGGAATTGAATGAAGTCAAATCAGGAGAGTGGATGCAAGAACTTTCTCATCCAGAATTGACAGAGGAGAGAGGAAGTGAGGGTGGCTCTTGTATTTCCTGGCCTTCCCAGAGTTGTTTACTGGTGTTCTTAGGTTAGGTTAAGCAACCATATCTAGCTGCATTGGCCGCAGATAATTTAATTCCTGCTGGTAAGCTTATAAGAGTAGGGGAATAAAATAGAAAAAGTGCTGATTGGTTGCCTTTTAGCTGTTATGAGCATAGCTTGAGGTCAAGAAATAGTTAAAGTATGTTTTGAATTTGAAATCTAAATCTTCACTCCTCCCCACCCCCTTTCCATACTGAATTAAAGATAGTGTGTTGGCCTGGGGATACCTTTTTTGGAGCCTGGTAAGGTGCAAACAGTAAACAGGGAGAGGGACAGAAAGTTTGGGGAAGGGAGAGATTTAGAAGTACTAGTAGACTTGAACAGCGTGCATTTAATAACTAGGCTTCTGCTGAACAGGTTGAAGTCCCCTGTCTCCATGTCTTAGACTTCTGAGTGTGAGCAATAAGAATGTGTGTGTCAAGGTAAAATTCCTGAGAGAATTACGTTTATTAGCAGTAAGATTTTGGGGCATCATTTAGTTGCGGTCCTTTATAGGCAGAATTATCTGCCCACCCACATTACCTGATCCTTAATTGTGTTTGGGCAAAGTAGAACTCCATGTTTTGGGCAAACTGAAAAGTACATTTTAAGTGTAAACATAGCTTTTGCAGTTATTTAAATGGGGTGGCATTTTTTTCCCTGCTCTTCATTTTATTTTCAAGGTGCAGTGATACATCCGTGAGATAAATATCTATATGTGATATATATGTCTATATCTGTATGCAATGTGGATATATGTATCATTTGCAGAGATATATGTATTTTTGGAAGATGCCTATGATTCCAATATGTCTAATTTTCTTTTTAAGATTAGAATATATCTCTAAATATCTCCAGTTAAGGTATTAAAAGACATGCTAATTCAGCTAAGCTATGTCATCTACATTGCTTTATTTCAGAAGCAGTATTTACTGAGGCAGGATTTTGCTTTTTATTTTTCTGGTAGACTGGCTTTGCTTGAAATGCTCCAGGAGCCAGGTCTGCTCCTTCCTCCCTGCTAGGCATGGTGCTTGCTTGCATGAGTCACTCATGCAAGAGCCTTGGAGAAAGGTCTTTATTCTTTCCTTATTTTCATCTTTTGGCAAACAGTGGTTTGTCAACAGGCGTGAACACACGTCGACTCAGTTTTGACTGCACATCTTTTGGGATTATGGTCATTGCCTTAATCATATTTGTGACTCAAAATTTGCTATTTCATGTGCTCACGTGGCATAAAGGTTAAAGGTCTAAAATTCTATCATTTGATTTGGACTACATCTCTAAGAAAAGGTGTCAGTGAAGTTGTACATTGACAAGCCGAATTCCATTAAGCCATGATTACCTGTGTCTTTATGTGCTTTTTCTTTACTGTTTTTTAAAATGTAGAATTATGTGAGTCTTGCTTGGACAAAATGCCTACTTAAGAAAATTTAGTTTCTCCTGACATTAAGGTGGTACCAATCTGTGTGTGTTGACTTTTTCTCTCAGGATGGCAAATACTTGATGTCTCTTTCACCAAATGATTTTACAGATTGTAAGAGTATTTTTGGCTGGGCCGAATTTGGAGCATGGAAGGGTAGTTGTGTGTGCAGTGGTTTGCTATATCACAAGCTGCTTCTACAGAGCCCTAGTTGTGATGAAGAGCTAGTTAGTGTGTGTCCTACCTGCACTAATTACTAAACACGTAGCTTGCTATGCAGTTTTGTGTGCTCTCCTTTTCAGGTGCTCCTCTTAGAGATAAGGGGCATGCATGCTAGTCATTGGTAGCAGGAATATGAGTCACTCTAGCCTCACTTCAGTACAGTGTGTGGTTGTTATTAGAAAGTGAGACCAGTTTCTTGGAGAGTTTGACACTCAGAACAGTGTACTTGAGTTTGCAGCTTGTGCTGCTGTTGGGAAGTGTTCCCTCACGTCTTGTCCTTTCTTTGCCTTGTGCCACCTTTGGGGGGTGCTTGGCAGTTCTGTTCAGTCAGAAAGCAACAGTTCTTTCATCAAAGTCTGATCTAACCACCAAATCATTAATCTCCCTTGGAATTTAATCACTGTTATTTCAGCTTCACAGAGTAGAAGAGAAAGGCACTTAAATTCTTCATAGTCCTGGCCATCTGAGGAGCAAGGCTTTTTCACTGGAGGATGCATGTTGGATCTGTGTTCTTAATAAAAGAGATCGAACCGCTAGGAAAGGATCATTTGGTACTATGAAGTTTAGTCCTTGGGCAATGCCATAACAAAGTGACTTTCCCTTGGAAACGAGGGTGCAAAAGGACTTGGGCTCAGCTCTTTCAAGCACTTACGTGTCGCAGTGTTTTCTATTTCTTTTCCTTTATTTTCCCTCCATACTGGGGACTGAACTCAGGGCCTCTCATAACCTAGGTAAGTGCTCTGCCATTTGAGCCCAGCTTTTGTTTTGCTTTTGAGACAGGGTCTCACTAACTTTGCCTGTACTAGCATCGAACTCAAGACTCTCCTGCTTCTGTTTCTGTAGTAGCTGGGATTACAGGTGTACACCACCATGCTTGGCTTCAGTGTTTTCTATTTCTTTAAGCCCAAGTATAACACTCATTCTAAAAGGATTCCCGGATTTCAGAGTAGTCTACAAAAAAATGTAGACCACTTCTTTGCTTTTGTGTAATACAGATAATACTGTCATGGCTGTTGCATGTCAAAGTTTTAATAATTCTGTTTACTTCAGAAGTTATTCTTTTAAGTATGCCTCGGGAACATAACTGGGATTACAGATAGTGCTGGAATAGGTGACCAGTAATGACTGTGTAGCTCTTAAGATTTTGTAATTTAAGAATGGAAATGTTGGACTGGAGGCGTGGCTCAAGCGGTAGAGCACGTGCCTAGCAAGTGAAAGCTCCTGAATTCAAACCCCAGCTCCACCAAAAAAAAAAAAAAAAAAAAAAAGAATGGAATGTTATACCTTACAAATAAGCAAATTCATTTGTGTGGAAACAGAGAACCAGTCAGAGTTGCAGTAGAAGGGGTGTGTGTGTGTGTGTGTGTGTGTGTGTCTATATATATCTGCCTTTGCTGGGGGGAGTCTATTGCAAAAATAGCACCCCCCATTTTATCCATGAAAAATGGAATTTTGGTTAAAAAGATAATGAGATTTGTTTTTGTTTTTGAGGACAAATGAATAAAATTGAGAGCAGTGTGTTTTAGTGGTTGAAAAAATTGGAAAAGGAAAATATCAGAAAAGTGCTTGTGCTATATAGTGTCAATAATTAGACTAATATTGCTGGAAGAATAATTAAGCAACTAGTGAAACAGACAGGTTGATAAATTTGTGAAAATTTGCTACATAGTAAAAGTGGCTTTTCTCATCTGGGAATGAAAAAAGAATTATTTAACAAATGATATTGTTGCAATTTACTGCCACTTGAAAAAAGCATTAGACATTTACTGGACAAGAACAAAATTTGAAAGGATTAAAAATGGAAGCATAAAGAAAAGAAGGATTTTTTTTTTTTTTTTTTTTTTTTTGAGATGTGGTCTTGCTGTGTGTAACCCAAGCCATTCTGAACTTGTGATCCTCCTGCTTTGGTCTCCTGAAGTTTTTTTGTTTGTTTTTTTAAATAATCTTCCATCCCTTGATGGTACCATCAAGGGAAAAGGGGTTAGATTTAACTACATAAAGTAGTTACCTGTTGCTTCATTTGGCTTTTGCTTTTCTCTCTCCTGTCACCTAAAAACCTAGAAATAACCTGGTAGGA